TTTCGATCAAAACTCTTAATTGTTCGATTTTGACAATAGCACAAACACCCAGGTCTTCATTAAGTAATCATCTACAACTATTGGCATAAATCTAATACTATTCCTTGAAGGAAACCATGACAGCCTACAAACATCCATGTGAATTAACTCCGCCAGTGTTGAACTACATATTCCGCCATTGATTAATATCACAGCACATGCATACATTCAATTCGTTAGCAACATAACCACACAACATATTCCTTTCACTCAGAACCTTCAAGTTTTTCTCACTAATGTGCCCCAAATGCATATACCACAACTCAAACTCTCGAACAGATGCATTGCCAAATGAAATTTGTCACTATCTCACCTTGAGGCTCATATGAGCCACCGTGCTTGATTTCTCTCATTATCACCAAGGCACCTCAAACAAACTTCAGAATTCCACTTTTTAAGGTATACCAACATCCAGCTAAATCCAAAGCACTTAAGGAAATCAGGTTCTTGTTCAACTTTAGAACATGTCTCACTCCAATCAATGTCATCACGATATGATTATGCATTCTAATTCTAATATCAGCAACAACCACAACATTGCAATGAACGTTATTCCCTAACTGCACTTTACTACTATTCGTCCACTGATAAGTAGTAAACCAGTTCCTATTTTGTGTAACATGAAACGAATAATCGGAATCCATAATCCATCCGCCAAACGACGAATCGTTAGTGACAGACAAGACAAGATCAGCACTATCCAAATTACTGTCAGCTACAGCTGCATCTGCAAACACAACTCTAATTCCTTTACCCTTCTTGTTCTTTAGCTTAAGATAATCCTTTCTAAGATGCCCCCTCTTGCCACAACTCCAACTGACAGTACCAACAGTCCTACACTGATTACGTCTGTTTAGGTTTATACTACTTCTTCTAACACGAGTAATAATTCTTTCTCTACTTTCATTTACTAATGCAGTAGATACAAGTTAATCAGATTCTCTCATACGGCTGTCTTCACTTATAATCAAATCGCGAACTCTATCAAACATCAAGCTTGTTAACCCAAAGGAATTACTAACAGTAGTAACAGTAGTATTCTAACTATTAGGCAATGAGGATTATAGAATCAAAGCACGTATCGCATCTTCAAAGTCAATATCAACTTAACTCAATTGACTAACAATGATATTGAATTCATTGATATGATGAGCAACTGACGCACATTCGTTCATCTTCAAGTTAAACAGATGTTGCATCAAGTAAACCTTGGTGATTGCAGATGGCTTCTCATACATATTCGATAGAGCTTTCGTCAAACCCATAGTGGTCTTCTCTTTCATGATATCATATACTACCTTACGAGCTAATGTCAGCCGAATAACACCCAACGTTTATCTATCCATCAATTTCCATTTAGCTCGCTTCGTTTCTCCCCATATAAGGGCAAGTATAGTTTCCTTTGGTATATATAATCTTCAATCTGAATCTTCCGCAAACTAAAATCATTCCCATCAAATTTGTCAATTTTTACTTTTCCTTCTTCCATCGCCATCGATTTCGCTTCAACTCAATCAAGCCTAGTTCTGATACCAATTATTGCAAAAGCAAGCGATCGAATAGTAAAATAGACAGAACAAAAAAATAAATCGGACACAAGGCGTGCTTGGTTCAATCGTAATGACCTATGTCTATGAGGAGAGCAACAACGAATTTCATTATAGATCAAGCGATACAATAGTTATTACAACTATACTTGAGCCACTTAAACACTCTCAATATGTTCCACAACCCTCAATTACACCCAATAACTCATACAGTGTTGAACCCCATAATTCCTCACGAAATAATTTCTCAAACTCATGAAGAAATTAACAAATCATATCACAAAATTAATTGGCTTCACCACGGAAATTTTTTATGTAATTCCAAGAAGAATACCCACTATCAAGCATTCGATGAAATGGCACTTCAACGACCCACTCTGTAACCAGCGGAAGCCCACAAATACATAAATGTCCACCCACCGCCTGAAGAAGTCCAACTTCAGTGAGCCCGTGTTAGCCAACAAAGCCTAACTAGGAAGTTTCCCCTTTTTTATATTTATTTCCTAGATTAGACTTCAATTAAAAATCAAAGTGGACGTGGGATTTTCTCCTTTCTTCGCCTAGGAAATTGCCTTGTGCATCCAAAGTCCAAGTTGGACTTTCCAAACTAGGTTGCTCCAATACAGAAGCAATTTCGTAATTATTCATCTTTGAACTTTCAAGTGATTCAAATGGATCGAGTTTGTTCGGCTCATAGTCGAGACAAATTATAACAGATGACGTGATTTTTTCCCCTTGTCAAAAGTGGGGTTATTGTTATTATTATGAGCAAAACGATTTATAGGCATTCTTTCATTTTGCAATTCGTGAATATTCGAGTAAGAAAAGATTTGCGATGAGGCCTATTGACGGAAACTCATTTGAGCAACACAAAATAGGCCAAACCGCGCCCGAGAGCTTGACGTTTCCATTCCAAAGAATCAAAGAGAAATTTCCATTCTTTAAAAAGACAATATTGAGAACAATAAGATGGATGATAATATGGTTGTTGAGGATACAATATAACTTAGGGACTGATTATTTTATTTCTTAAACTTTATTGGTTTATCCATCAGTTCAGTAGCCAGAAGTTTACCGACTATCTTTGTTCTTTTTTTTTTCTCCTCCCTCTATTTTAATAACCATATGACTTTAGGGTGCCTTTTGATTTGGACATGGATCCTCGGTGGCGTATGGTATTTATTCTTGACGCATTCCATGGATGAGATTAATAGCTTCTAAGCTTCTAATTACAATATTTTTATTATATCGATTATTAAATTTGGCGGTTCTTATCATTTAACGTGTATGATTTCTAACTCATTGATTAAATGAAGGGAAAATGACACAATTCCCTTAACTTTGGTCCAATGTGTAATGTTGTCTCTAGATGTGCAATGTTGTTCTGAACTATCGATAAATGTTCAATGTAGTTCTTCATTTTGCTCATATGCAAATCGGACGTTATTTGATGACATGGATTGTTAGATGGTAAGGTGGATTTTTGAAAATGTTGAGTCAATATGTCCATCTTTTTCTCCATATACTTTAGAAAAGGAAAATTAAAATTAGGATGTTAACTGTCCATCATTATTTAATGACGTGAATTATTATATCCTTATTTGAGATAAATATCTGACTTGAATAATTCACATGTAACTTTTTTTATCCACTGTTCAAACTTAACAAATTGGAAGTTACCTCATCAAATTTCACTAACTTGAATTAACGGAAGAACGACATTGAATAATTTCATATAGTTTGGGGAATAAATTGAACATTTACCGTTAGTTCATGAACCACATCGAACAAATTAAAAATTCGAGGATGATATTGCACATTGAATCAAAGTTAATGAACCATTTGTGTCATTCTAAGAGTTTGAGTGATAGGCGTGGTGGTTATTTTTCTTAAAAATGATTGAGCGTGCGTTTTTACACTGGTATTTGTGCTTTATGTATAGACTACATTTTGCTATACGCACATAAAAGAAATTAGCGAGATGAAACTAGAACACAAAAAAATTGAGTAGTGAGGGGATGACTATAAATATAAAAAAGCAAAATTTAAGCTGCGTTTGGCATAGCTTTAAAGATGGACTTTGGGCTTCTAAAGTACCCTGAGTGAAAGTTGTAGCATTTGACTAGAAATTTTTGGACCACTTTGAATGAAAGCTAGTATTGGCAAAGCTCAAAGTCCAAGGCAGATCCTCCCTTGCTTTGACTTTCAGCATTTTTGGAAAACCCCGTATAAGGATTCATGAATTTTCTCAGTTTCCTTTCTTACCCTAAAAAGCTTACTAAAATTTTGCTTTTACTCCCAAATGGCCCCGGGTATTGTAAACTCAAGCAGTTTATCTTCTCCGTCCCTAAACCAAATCTAAGTTATAGATCTAAATATGGTCACCAGTCTTATGCCTCGCAGATGATTGCATTCGGTGTTGAGGGTAGCCGAGGGTTATCAAGGGTCTGGGTTCGGATGCCTGGGTTGATGCTTATATGGGTTTGCGCAGGTCTGGGTGGCCGACGATGCGCGACCCTTGGCATCGCCTCGCCTGGCCTCTTCCACAGTATGTTCATCGACGGCGATGAATTTGCTTTTGGCAGGTTTGCTTCCATGATGGGATATCTAAATGCCCCCAAAAAGAAGGGCAAAGTGCGTGCACGACGAGCACCTGTTCATTAGTCAGCCATTATTTCCCATGGTGATGAGCTCGAGGGGATTCTTGCATCAAAGTGATCAAGTTAGGGGTATTTTGGAACAAAGTCAGGTCGGAGAAATTTCAAGAAATAAACGACACTTCAGGGAGGTTATCGAGCCAAAGTGATCAAGTTCACGAGTATTTTGGAACAAAGTCAAATTTGGAGCAAACTTTGAGAGTTGAGCGACCCTTCGGGGCGATTGGAATTCTCCCAAATAACCTGTGATACCATAAATTTAAGAAGACTACTACCGCGCACACCTCAAACAACAAAGTCCTAACATTGTATGTGAAAAATGCAGACTCGGCATTAAAGCACACTAATGTTGCCTTCCAAATATGTTGGCTAACCTCCAAAGCACGTGCTGATGTTTTGCTCTTGCTAAAATGAGATAAATGCTCTGGAAGTGCTAAAACTTATCACGAAGTGCAATTGAGTTTTAAAACTTTCAAAAACTGCAATTAAGTTTTAAAATTGTCATAAAAGTGCAATCGAGTCCCAAAATTTTCAAAAAGTACAATTGAGTCATAAAATTTGTCACGAAAGTCTAATCGAATCCTAAAACTTTCAAAAAGTGCAATCAATGGAAGGACTTGATCGGATCAATTTGATAAGTTTTAGAACTTAATTGCACCTTTTGAAAGTTTTAGGACTTCCAATGCATTTATCCCTACTAAAATTCATTTGTATGGACTTATTCCATGGGTGATACTGCTGCTTCAGGAAAAGAAAATGAAGAAAAAGAAAACGTTGGCATTGAAAAAGATTAAGCAAGAGTGTACATCATCCACTTAACCCTTCAGTTCCAATAATTGATATCTCAATCCCTTAACATCAATTCTTCAAGAGCAATCAAGTGCTCCTAGTAAAATAGAGGATGCCATTCTTTCTCAACAAGCAAAAAGTAGTTGGCAGTTCAACAACAACTGACTTCATAATCTTTCAACAACCTTTGGAAGTAAAATTGCTCTGCAATTAGCCATCCTTGACTGTTCACTCACTTTTTTCTTCATTGCGGAAGAACATACACACCCCCTGTCGTCAGAAGAAACCTTTTGACAATCTTATCGGAAGAACTAAACACAAAGACAAAGTTGTAGCCTTTCCCTCAAACTGAAATGATCTTCTATGCAAGTTCCATGATCTGGAGACTTCGAATGATTCTCTATATCTTCCATTATTGAACGGCCAGCAGTTACTTATGCCTTTGTTCCAAGAAATGACTGCGAAGGAAACGAAAAATGTTACAGGAGAAAAGTAAACCACAGACAAAGAACAGATAAATAAAAAAGAACAGCGAAGTCTCTGCTGAACGTGAAGACCCACAAAATATATTCCGTGTTGGCATTCTCCGATGCCAATACTCAGAGACTGTTATGAGGTCGCAACACCAAACATTTGGTTCATGACAGTTGCAAAGGTCGGTTGTAATAATTAGCTCAAGATAGTCTAACCAAGGTTCTAAGCTTTAGTTATGTGCTTCATTTAGAGCATTTACCACCATCCGAGACAATCAGAGGGCGATAAGAGCCGTAGAAATGCTAAAGAATGAGGTAGATAAATTGATAGACGTAACTGATCCTCCAATATGAATCTGGATCTCACTACAGGAATTAAACTCTGAACACAACAACTACAAATATACATGTTATACCAACTAACAAGCTTTTCAATCTATGGGAACATATCGAAGCACAAAGGACCCAAATGACTGCACAGATGGAACAATTAGGCCACATCACTTGTGGACGTTACCCTTTTCGGAATGTAATCATATCTTGTCCAAGATGTGACCTCATCTTCTTCTTCACAATTTTTCATGTATCTCCCAATGACAATGACCAAATTTACTCCATCTCAAACTCGGTCAGCTTTAACGTCTGAAGCCAGGCTAGAGTCCTATTTTTTTCTTTCTGAACGTTTCCGTATTTCTTACAAGGTCCTTCAAAGAAATGTTAATTAAGAAACCTTAGAAATACCTGATGCCTCACTAGCCACAGGAATATGTATCGGAAAGGAAACTTTTTTTTCCTTTGTTTTATTTATTCTATGACAATGACAATGAAAAATTATCAACTAGTTCTTTGTTTCACTTTTATTGTTGTTCAGAAAATACTTGTCACAAATAAAACCGAAAATCTGAAATTTTATAACACAGATCAACTTAAAGGACCATACAAGTACGATTCCGCAAGTCATAAGATTGCACCAACCATGACTTTATTTGGAAATGCATTAGACTTAGCTGTTGCAGTGCCCCCAATGCTGAACCCTTTCTGCTTCTTATCAGCAGGACTCAGTAATTGAAAAGAGCACATAAGGTTCTCATCAACAGTCATCACAGCACCAGCATTGTCAAACTCCCCACAATAATTAGGTGCCGAAAATATGGTCACGAGTTGCTTGTTGGCGAAAAGCTCATAACCATCTTCAACAACCTGACATGCCAATAACGAGGGTGAATGAATCTTACAAGTGAATGTCGACCATTTTGAATTTGAAATAATCGATTCCAGGATTAACTTCTTTTTTTTCTCAAAGCAATCCCAAACCTGGTGAGCACGGCAAATCAAGTCAAGATCCTGCCTCTTGAGAAAATCCGTCACTCTGTCAGGACCAAATGAATAGGAGACTCCCCTGTCGTTTGGACCCCACCCTTGAATGTCATTGCTAGGATCGGACCAGAGAAGATCGCATAGCAAACCCTTCTCTGGAACATCGGTGGGCCGCGGTAACCTTCTGATCTGGTTCAAATCGTTGAGATCAGGGGAGAGTCCGCCGTGCATACACAGTATCTTTTCGTCAATAAGAGCTGCCACAGGGAGGCAGTTGAAACAATCGGTGAACATCTTCCAGAGCCTGACATTGAATCTCCGTTTACACTCATCGTAAAATCCGTAAATGCGGTTCACAGATGCACATTCATGGTTGCCTCTCAAGAGGAAGAAGTTTTCTGGGTACTTGATTTTGTACGCAAGGAGAAGACAAATTGTTTCCAGGCTTTGTTTTCCGCGATCAACATAATCTCCCAGGAATAAGTAGTTTGAACGAGGTGGGAATCCGCTGAACTCAAAAATCCTTAAGAGATCATTATACTGGCCGTGGATATCTCCTGTTAGACAAAAAGAGATGTCACCCAATTCATACGTCGCAGTAATTACATGTGTATCATCTCCGATTCTAGAACCAAATTTCTGTAAAGCGAATTGTCATCAGCTGCAGGATAGTACAGCAGTACAAGTTATGGTATTTGAGAATGGGATGGTTCGAACCTTTATCTTCCAAGGATGAAAAGACGATGGACATAGATATGTTACTGATACTACAGGCCTTCAGTTTAGCACATATTTGACAACTGAAACTTACTTTGGACCGTCTCTAAAACTCATCATTCAATCCAGTAGTTAAACATATTATCTGTCTCCTTGATATTCAACTCTAGCGAAAGATCTACTTCTGTTTATTTAAACATATATTACCATAAAAGGAGAAGAAACTTGGACATCATGATATACCTGTCCTCCAATTATGATTGTAGAGCGTGCTTAAATATACAAGAAAGACTCTAGTAATTTTTAACATGCAGTCAGTCCTTGAACTTGAATACGAGCCACAAACTCTAATATTACAAGAATTAGAACAAAGAGTAAAGTACCACAAACTTTGACGGGCGCTTCAAGCTCCAAGAGATTGGGCTGGCTCAAGAAGACGTCTCTGGACACGAAACAGAGCTGCTTGATTTCTTCTTCCTTGAGCTGCACTTGCTTCCCCGGCTTGCCTCTCACACTAAGAAGCCTATCGATTATGGAGTTCAGAGCAGATGTTTGCATCTCTCTCTCTCTCTCTCTCCCGTCCTCTCTCTGCCCAACCCAGAAGACTTTCTTTTCTATATGCCCTTCAACGTGGAAGAAGCTCAAGCCAAAGTGAACAACAAAGTGAAGATGATGATCAAGAAGACCCACTTTAATAGTGCTCCCGCAGTTCTGCTTGGGTACAACATATTCTCATGCTTGAGAGAGATAGAGAGAGAGAGAATTTTGGCTTTTAGAAATGGAGGGTCTCGGTTCGAAGTGGAAAAGAGAGGGGAATCATATTCGAAAAACTTATGGATAGAGTGAGTCGTGCGTTCAGATTCCGAGTCGAGCAGAGAGAGGGTGAGAAAGAGCTATGGAATTCCTCTGTTTTCTGTGCGACCACCATACTCAAAAGGAAACATACAAGAAGCTTCGCATCCCTTGAGCTCGGGGAATATCAGCGTTGAATTCAGCTCGCTGACCTCGTCTTCGACGCCATGGACGAGACGACTGGACAGAGAAGAAGCAAATAATAATAATAAAAAATTATAACATGATTACTTTTATTGATTATTTTTTCTTTTGTTGTTGAATATTTCGGCTTTGCATCTGTTTCGCCTTTGCATCCTAACTTCCCATTCCCTTCCCATTTGAGACTTTTGTTTTTTTGGCCGAACAATTTGAGACTTTAGGGGGCCCCTTTGGCATGCCAGAATTATTCCACATTTTCGTTTTCTGTGAAAATAAAAAGCAGCTTTTCTGTTTTCTTGCTTTGATTTTCGAAAATAAAAATGTTCAATTGGAATGAAAAGTTTGGATAGATGTTTGCTTGTGTTGTTTTCAAGATTGTGAAATATGCGGAAATGATTAAAATGTACATATTCTGTTTCACTTTTGTTCTCTTTCATGTTATTATTTGATAGTATCATCACTTAAATGAAATTTACTATCTATTTATGCAAAGAGTTTTTATTAAATGAAATACAACTACATGGAATTTTTGGACTTAATAAATCAGTTATTGAATTGCAATAAAACAATATACATTATATATTCTTAAAAACATGTTTGATTTGTGGGAAAGTTTCATTAAAAATGAAAATCATGAAACAATGTTTGATTCCATTATTTGTAACATAAATCTCTGGATTGACGATCTTTTATCAAATTGGAAAGAATGAATCAACATGAATAAATTATTAAAGAAAGTTATGAAATAATGTATCTTAATATTACATTATGTATTCTTGAATTGGAATATATTCGTCAATGTTGTGGAGTAGGCTATTTTCGAATTTCTCTCGTCTTTGTCTTCTCTTCTTTTTTTCTCTTCCTTCTTTTTCGCGATTTTTAATCTTTGTTATCATTTCGCCATGGTTTTCTAGGTTTGATATTCTCCTCCTTCAGTCTTTACTTTACCTCTTTTTTCTGCCTTTTATTTTTCTCCCCCATAGCCACTGCTTTCGATCCTACGCCCACAAACTTCAACGGACAGATCTAGTCACTTGGGAATGAATGGCTTTTTGAGAGAGAGAGAGATGAGCATCACAGTCGCCACATTCATTGAATCGACGATGGTTACCAATGCCAAAAGAGGCGACGAGCCTCCCCCCATATATGACGTCAGAATTGAACGGTTTTCACTTAGAGAGAGAGAGCACATTGAAGTATAAATGATGAACAAGAATGATTCGAATCGATTGAAAACACTAAAGAAAACCCTTGGGTATGTGGGATTGATTGGGATGACTTGGATTTCTAGTCCAAGAATCCCATTTGATAATATGTATATATATTTTTTAAATATAGTTAGAAATGGATTTTACTAGTTAGAAGGTTTAAAAGTGAAAATGCAAAAGTTTGTATTTAGTTAGTCTTGCAGCCGACCTCAAAGAACCTAAAATCCTAGTTTTAAAAAAATATGTTGTCATAAATGCTGATAGGCATATATTCTTTCCGAACTTGATGTGTTCCATAATAAATAAAAGTTTGATTTAGCACTCTAAAAGCAAAACGAACAATTAAAATAAAATAGCAAAAGCAAAAGCAAGAATTATGCCAACCAATTCACTCTTCAAGTGAAGTGATGACCGTATCAATCATAAGTTTTTCCCTATTTATACAATTTCATAGTACACATGATATCGATCTAATATTTTCTGGCATTCTATTCAATATATGAATCATCAGTCACATAATATGCTTATAATGGATTGAGAATGTTCATGTAGGGAATTTCTTATCTGTTTCTTCTCAAAATTTTCTCAACGCCCTATTTAGAAAATATTCTCACGAGGGCAAATGCGAAAACTAACAATAAGTGAATGTTACATTTACCTAATTAATGCATGAACCTCACAATTTTCACTGCCCTTTTGGGTTCTCACTTTAAGTTTTTGGTTTGGGTGACGCTTTTTCTGCTCTTTATTTGGCTCAAACACTTCCTTCTAGAGTGTTGTGACCATATTACCCCTATTTTTTCAAGCTTCAGCATATGATCTTTTTTTGGACGTAAAAGCTTTAGCATATGATCAAATGGGGGCCCAATTTAGAAAATATTCTCACGAGGTCAAATGCGTAAACTAACAATAAGTAAATGTTACCTCTACCTAATGCATGAACTTCACAATTTTCACTGCTCTTTTGGGTTCTCATTTTTAGTTTTTAGTTTGGGTGACGCTTTGTCCGCTTCTTATTTGGCTCACACACTTTCTGGTAGAGTGTTGTGACCATATTATCCTTATTTTTTCAAGCTTTAGCGTGGTCAAATGGGGGCCCCATTTGGTGTCCCTTCCTTTTATTTGTCTCTGTTTTTCTCTTCCACTTCCCTTCTTTCTCAGTCCGCCAAAGCACAGCCCATTAAACTTTTTTCCTTTGTTCTGCGTTCTCCTTTGTTCCCCCGTCTCTTCTGGCAATTCTTGTGTAGTCGCACCTCCGATGAAAAGTTCATGCCAAAAGTCCATTCCATTATCAACATGACTTTGACCATCACTAGGCCATTCTTGCACGTTATCAGCCATTAGATTGAGTTTGTGTACGATGCTGAAGTCAGATAAGGTATAGGTCACCCGAGCCGTCCGACCGAAAACTCGCGTGGAGGTGGCCAGCTGCAGATGACTCGGGTTATCCTCTTCACCTTCAGATCTTTGCTCGCGTTGCCCGTGAGCTCAAGCACCTCGGCTGTTAAGTTTCCAGAATTGATGCCAGGTAGACGGCCTCCGTCGCCCCGACGTGGCCGTAAGTGGAGATCCTTGCCTTGAATGAGCCGGTGAATTCGGCCCACGTTACTCAATTTAAGAAGGCGCACTTCACTCCGTTCTTTGTCGGTACTTCACTCACATTATCTTTCACAGTATTGGACTAAATCAGCTCATGCTCTGCAATTCTAGAATGAATCGACTGAACTCGACCGGCTCGTTGTTGCCAATTGCCGGACCGGCAGATCTTTCGGCGGCCTCATTCCCTTTAGAGAAAAATCTTGCTCTGCTGAGCTCGCGGTCCGAGAAGCTGCGCCGCTTGGGCTGGTTAGGGAACTCAGAGGTGTACCCGTGGTAGCGAAAAAAATGTAACCCTTTTAGTCTTTAGTTTTTTACTTTTGCATGATTTATGGAAACCGTATTTCAATATCAAGTGCTTTTATATTTAAAATTTATGCATCCAATTTCGCGTGTGCACAGATTTAAGTACCAAGTATATGTTTTTTTCTGACATAATAAATTATTTTGAGGTGAAAATCCCTTAATAATCTAAAATCAAGGCATTGCATTGGCCGCCAAAGATCTAATGTGTAGATTCGTCCTTTGGTGACGTGGTGTACTACCAATTACGACGATTAAGCATTCGTATGTAATCATATATTCTATTTCTTCTATGTTCTCGGTGATTTTGAATATTGACCCTACTTACACAAATACGAGAAGTCAAATTCACATTTGCTGAAAGTACACTACCAAATTAGCAAAGCACACAAGCCATTGGTACACTGCTGTAACACTTCATGACAAGCACCGGAGCTTTTGGTTATCTACATGAACAGATAACGTACATGCCTATGTAGCTCCTTTTATTCATTGTAATACATATCGTTTTCTTAGTTTACCACACTAGATGCTACTTCATTCATTCGGAACCTTCGTTTGTAGTCTCTCTTTTGATCATTTTCCTCGCCGTTGCATTTTGCGGCGCACACGAAATTGTGCTCGGGGGCCTTAATTGAGAGGAGGACGGCCTTTGCGAGGTCGACCAGCAATAAGCTTCTCCACCATGTGTGGCGGCTTTCCCTTGTGGTGTGGTGGTTCTTTTTCATGCGGAGGCTTCAGTTCGTCACCACCGTGTATGCCAAGAGCCTTATTGCGACCGTCCTCTAGGGCATGACGATGAGGAGGGTGGTCGCGGTCGCCACCGTGGTCTTGGTCGCGATGTGATGGTCCCATATCTTCCGGAGGTTTTCTCTCATTGCCCTTGTGTCCTCCAGGACAATCACAATGGACGTCCTCTAGGGCATGACGATGAGGAGGGTGATCATGGTCGCCATCGTGGTCGTGGTCATGGTCATGATCGTGATGCGATGGTCCTTTCTCCTCCGGAGGCTCTCGCTCATTGCCCCTGTGTTCGCCAGGATGTTCACGATGATCATCCTTTAGGAGATGACGATGAGGAGGATGGCCAGGACAACCACAATGGCCGTCCTCTAAGGCATGACGATGAGGAGGGTGGTCGTGGTCGCCGTCGTGGTCATGGTCGTGATGTGATGGTCCTTTCTCTTCCGGAGGCTTTTGCTCATCGCCCTTGTGTTCGCCAGGATGTTCACGATGATCATCCTCTAGGAGATGACGATGAGGAGGATGGCCAGGACAACCACAGTGGCTGTCCTCTAAGGCATGACGATGAGGAGGGTGGCCGTGGTCGCCGTCGTGCTCGTGGTTGTGGTCGTGATGTGACAGTCCTTTCTCCTCCAGAGGCTTTCGCTCATCACCCTTGTGTTCGCCAGGACGTTCACGATGATCATCCTCTAAGAGATGACGATGAGGAGGATGGCCAGGACAATCACAGGGGCCAGGACAACCACAATGGCCATCCTCTAAGGCATGACGATGAGGAGGGTGGCCGTGGTCGCCGTCATGATGCGATGGTCCTTTCTCCTCCGGAGGCTTTCGCTCATCGCCCCTGTGTTCGCCAGGACGCTCACGATGATCATCCTCTAGGACATGACGATGAGGAGGATGGTCATGATCGTGACCGTGGTCGTGGTCGTGGTCGTGGTCGTGGTCGTGGTCGTGGTCGTGATGCGATGGTCCTTCCTCCTCTGGTGGCTTTCGCTCATCACCCCTGAAGGAGGCGAGACGGGCACCCGTGATGGTGGTGGCGACGAAAGCCACCACTCCAAGGAGGACTAGGAAGTACGTGAGGCGAGACATGTCTTGGTTTTGGAGTGAAGATTAGGAGTGAATACAAGGTCTATTTATAAGGTCATAAAGCTCCCAATGGCGTGATACAATGAAACGCTATAAGGTTACTGCCCTAAATATTTTTATAGGGACCAACTTTATCACATCATATACTAAGATTATATCATCCTAATCCGACGCCTGCAACTTGGATTCCCCTTTGCCGTGTACCACCGGATTGAAATTAATACTTCATTAAGCTAACTAGGAATTCTTTACTCTTACATTCTATGCCTCATCTTTCATGTGGGAGATTATGAGATATAGAATGACTATAACAAGTCGGCACTATATCTTGCACGAGAGCCCATGTCGACATGGTGCGAACCTTGTGTAATTTCTATCTTGATAATAATCTATCGAACGAATTTTTCGGATCGTCTCAGCTACCCTCTCTTTCCCATTCAAGAGGCCAAAGGAATGAAATACTAGGAGAGTAAGAGCATCACACCTCACACCATCATCTGAAACAGATTTGATTGTCCAATCTACAAATTCTAAGCGAAATATTCGAAAAAACAGTTCAGTTCAAGAGTCAAATGTGCATTGTTATCTTTTCATCTTAGAATTTCAATTACTATAAGTAGGCTAATTGCCGGCATAATTTTCTTGTTTATTTTCTTTTCTCCCCTAAATAAGTATTATTGGCCTGCAATTGATGATGTGGATACCGGCTGTCCTACATAGCGTGGCCAACACTGACGTGAATGATTTTTTAAAATTTTTTGAATTTTTGAATTTTTTTTCTTTTCTTTCCTTTTTCTTTTTTTCTTTCTTTTTTCTATTTCCCCCCGTTGGGGCCATGGTAAGGACCGGAGACCTTCGCTGGCCAAAGGCAACGGCCGCAATGCCCTCGCTGAATCTAGGCCAGGCGAGGGCTTTGCAACCCTTGCCTATGGATGGCGGCCGTCGAAGGGAGATAGGAAAAAAAGAAAAAAAGAAAAAAAAAGAAAAAATTTTTGAAAATTTTGAAAAATTGCAAAAATCGTCCATATCGATGCTTGCCATGTCACGTAAGTCCAACTGATATTGACCGAACCACTATGTTAGAGATTTTCTGTCAAAATTGGCCTAAAGGATTATATTAGCAAACCGTTAAAAGATTTAGAACTAAATTGACCAAATTGAAAATCTTAGAATTGAATTGACCATCACACAATTGGTTCATTCTTTTTAGATGATTTTTTTATGTGTCATGTTTTTTTTTTTGTCTGTCCTATTCTAACTCTCAAATGACTCTCAGACTTTTGCCTTATATCTTTGAAAAACGTGAAAGTCGAAACCCACATCTAAAACTAAACATTTTCACCTCTAGCTCCCTTGAGAAGGTGGAGAATCGAACTTCTCACCTCCCCCTTTCCAAGTAAAAGGGCTGCCACTGGGGTTTGCCCCAATGGTTTTTGTGTCATGTGATCCGCGGTTTTTGTGTGTAGAAAAGAGATTTAACGAGCTGTACAGTTACTTCCACATGTGGATCTCTATCAAGAGATGTCTTAGCCGGAGCTTTGTTTTTAAAAATTCAAGTTAGTGCGCCTTTTGTGTAGATCAGCAGCCGGTGATCGAAAGGGACGCACTCGCACACTCATTAGTGCTTAGTGAATGTTTCACCATCTTCTCTTTTTCCTTTCTTTTCCTTAACCTTTTGGTTATGGATAACTATCGCGGAGGACCCACAGAGAATCCCGGATCCGCTCTCTTTCTCGATTGCCTTCCCTTTAAGAGCCTGTGGAGTTCTTTCTTTCCTATTAGGATATCAATCTCGCTTGTTCTTTCTGAGCTTGCACTGAAAGTGTCTAGATTTAGTTTTTGTTACTAAATGTCGTTAGTGCACTTGTTTCCCAAGTAAGGCATGTTTGTCATTTTCGATGAACCATCTCTCTCGTGCTGTGTATAACCAGTGCATTCTAAATGAAAGTAATTTCATATGGAGTATGGCTAAAGAGTGCTCCGAAGCTGCTCGTTAATAAGGCCGTTAAGTTAAAATGATTAATTGTTGCAGGAGAGTGGGAGAGGAGCACGGAATTCAACAAGTTCATAGAAACCAGATTAGTATTAGGAAATCAAGGTGGTTCAACATAAAATGAATGAGTTTTATTGTAGAAGTTGTTCATACGTTCGAATTCTTTTGTTTCTGTGTTAGGATAATTGTCAAAAAAAGTCGTAAACCTATTATACAGCGGCCAATTTAATCTTAAACTTTCTAATATGTCATAAACCCTTTGACAATTTGTTAATATAGTCTCTTAAACCAATTTTGGTTAAAAACGCTAACGTGGACATCGGATGTCCCATGTGGCACACCGCTAGCCATAGGCCCCCGTGATGTAGCCGGGGGTCAACTACTTGAACAATAGGATCGGGAGAGTGACTTGCACACACGAAAATTCTGTCACAAAATCGAGCAGAAATTTCTGTCTTGCGCTAGCTCGGGAAAATGGGTGTAACTTTGTCGATACAGATCGATTGACCTGATTCCAAAGCCAAAAGAACAAAGACTCTTGTTTCCACAACTTTTGTGTTTTGAGTTTTCTTAGATAAGCACTGTGGAGCTGTCGATTGGAAGGAAGTGGACGTCGTGATTGGTTAAAATGCGGAAAAGAATAGGAACTTCAATGCTGCTCTTCTAGGCCTCCAAGGAAGTTGAAATGGTATCAATTCTTCTAAATTGATAGCTGCAACTCTTCAAAGATGCACATTTTAAAAGCTCCGACTCTCCGACTCTTCAAAGACGGAGTGAAAACTCTCCTAGGTTTTTAGGGGTTTGAACTCTTTGAGGTTCAAGAAAAGTGCACGAAGCCAATTTCCTTATTTAAATTCAGTCTATTTTTGTACATAAACCTGATGGCCTTTTATAATACAACAAAAGAAAAGCAAAAGACTAAATGCAAATCTAAAAACTAGAAGTTACTAAATGTTCAATATTTTCAATGCTTGTGATAGTCTCAAGGAGTCTTGATGCAAGCTTCCATGCATGAGAAATGATAAAATCTTTATGACAAGGTCAAAGATGAGGCTTTTCACTTATTGATGAGACTCTTGATGTTTGTCGATCTTGAATACGAACCGATCTTTTTGGCTAAACAAGCTGGTCTTGAATACGGGTTGCATCACCTTGCCAATGCCCTTGCCAGCCACAGTGAGGTCTCGCTGGCTCTCGCTAGATTTGGGTGAGGCGAGGGCTAACGAGGGCATCTTGCCTCTTGCCTGTGGCCGATGACCTCCGTCAGCCCCGGATTGGTGGAGGCAAACAGAGAAAAAAGAAAAAGGAAAGAAAAGGAAAGGAAAAAACGGAGAAAAAAATTAGAAGATTAAAAAAGAATTGCAAAATTCGTCCATGTCAACTACCTGTACTATGTAGGTTGGCTGACGTCTATTTAAACAATTTCCGACCAATATAAATAAATCGTCAAAAAATTACAACTAAATTGGTCAAATTGAAAAGTTTACGATTGAATAATTTTACGACTTTTTGGACAATTAACCCTTGCTATGCATGTCATAGAATCAATGGATGTTTTTGCTGCAGACAAATAACTTGCTAAACCTAGAATCATTAGTCAAAGACTTTGTACCAAATAGCGAGCACGCCCCATGTAAGATGAACTAAGTAGACAGTTGACGCCCCGGTGCGAGGTGGTACGGTTATTTAGCGATGGCCCTGTCAATTATCAGCAAGACGGGACGAGTTGGCGGTATAGACATTGAGGGACTGCCTTTCTATCGTCACCAACACGGGACAAGTCTACATGCATGTCTTCGGATCCAAGGATCACAAATTTTCCCCTAGGCCACGATGCCATACCAGAGCATAATCGATCACCAATGAAACTCGCATGTGCATGCACGGACACGCACACCGGCAAGTTGCAACAGCATCTGTGGTCCACTAGTGCGCTGATACCAGGGCTATGTTTGGGAGTATCACCGATGCACAAAGCTCACGGATAAGAAATGCGGCATGCGCTTCTTCTGTTCTATTCGGAATACTTCAGGAGGCAACTTGCATAAAAATGACAAGTCAATTTTCTTCTTCCCCTTTCAAGGATATAAGTAGGGCTGTCAAAAAAACCCGAGCCGACCCGGCCCGGCCTGACCCGACCCGGCCCGATCCGAATTTTTAGGGTATTTTGGGGTCAAGTCTTATTTTCTATGGGTATGGGTTTTAGATGTGGGTATTTGTTAGGATAGGGTTGGGCCGGGCCGGGCCGGGCTTTTTTGACCTGGTACCAAATATAACCGTAGCCCCTCCCCCTCTCTCCCCTTCGCTCTCTTCTCTCTCTGCGCCGAGACCCACCTCCCTGGCGAGCTCCATCTCCCTGTCTATCCTTTCCGCCAGAGCAGCGGCCGTCGCGGTGATGGACCCGTCCCCGTCGATGTCGTACACCGAGAACGCGTCCCTCAGGTTCTCCATCGCCTCGTCCGGGTCTACCCCCTTGGTGTTCAGCTCCACGAACTCCTCGAAGTCGATGAACCCGTCCCCGTCGGAGTCCACCTTGCATATCATCTTGGCCAGCTCCTCCTCCGTCTCCGGGTGGCCGAGGGAGCCCATGATGGACCCCAGCTCCGACGCTGAGATCTTGCCGTCCCTGTTGGCGTCGAACTTCCTGAACACCTGCTCCAGCTCCTCGATCTGGGATCGGGACCCCATTGACGAGGATCGCGACCCCAGCGAGGTGGCCAATGCGGACCCCCCTGCCGTCGCCAAGGTGGGTTTCTTCCGACGGAAGAGGGATTGGAGACCCATGATCGGAAACGGAATGCAAGTTATCGAGAAGGGCAAGCAACGCGGTTCGTGACGATCGGTTTCTTTGGGGAGGATGAGAAAACGGAATCCCGATGGGGTGGAATTGAACTGTGTTCGTTGTGATTTTGGGGGGGGAGATCTTGCGGTTTTTGATAAGTAAATGCAAAGAGAGAGAAACAGAGGAGGAGGAGGAGGCACAGAACAAGCTGCAGAGAACAAGCCCTAAACCCGACCCGACCCGACCCGACCCTATTCTTGGGGTATATGCTAAATAGGGTCTTGGGTCGGGTCAGGTCGAGTCAAGCGAGACTCTATATATTTCGGGTCGGGTCGGGTATCATGAAAGCCCGACCCGACCCAACCCATTGACACCCCTAGATATAAGAGTCCGGAATCCTTGTAAAGCATCCAAGAAAAGCGAGAGGCATTCATATTCAAAACCATCCGGAGGGGGAAAAATGCTTACAAAAGGAGAAGAGAAGATATTTACATATAATCTATGTCAATTCAGGAGGGACTGAGATCATCATGATAATTTTACATGTGATCCAACCGTCGTCATAGAAATTCAAATGCAGTTAGTCCTTGTCTCTGTATTTCATTCCACATGTGAAGAACCGCCGCCAGTTTCAGCCTTCGTCCTGCACACAGTGAGGCCCGCTCAATGGTGAAAATAGTGAAAGAAACATGATGTATGTGTGCCTTTGCCAGGCTACGATAATGTCAAACATAATCAGCTAGGAGCACATCAGTCGAATACGGTCTTTTTTTTTTTGGTAAGGAGTCGAATACGGTCTTTGTAATGCAAGCAGCCCAAGAATTGGTACATCATGGCACATGCATTATGGTTTTTTGAGGGAAGGCTACCAAACAAATTCCCAAAACTTTGATTAACTTATAAAACCACCTCCTAGTTTTGAACAATTAACGCTCCGTGCCATCAGAGATGTTCAACACAATGTTCATGTTTTCCAGAAGCACAATAACTAACAGGTACTTTCAGCAGTGAAGATACTCGCAGTTATGGCCTCACTCCAAGTTAAGTAGAGAATAAAATTTCCTTCATTCATCAAGATCTCATTCAAACCAAGTAGCTGCAGAAAAATTTTGTGCAGATGAGCTAGGAAGATGAAGACTTACTTATGGTCAGAAGGATTCGGCATCAATTCATAAACAATAGTAGCAACAACGTCCCTCTTCAACTGGTCAATCACAATCCAGCACATATGTCAGTGAAGAACACCAAGGCAATTCATGAAACCAATCTGCCGACTATATTACCTGAGTAGCTTCACCTTTAAAGCCAATGTAATATATCTGGCTAGTGTCACCCCCAAAATTGTCAGGAAAATGCAATGTAATGTTGCCCACGCTTTGAAATTTTGAGTACCTAAACACGAGAACAAAATGTGTAAGAAATACTAATGTATTTTCATTGTCTTTCTTATGTGAGTCCTTCTTAAAATGGGCATCTCCCAACAAAACTTTCTATTTTTTTGTTATTTGTTTATTTACATTAATGTTTCATGGAAGTTGGTGATGTGCAAAGTAGAAACAAACATAAAACAATTACCGAGTCTGATATTCCAACATTCCTTGCATGTTTTCAGCCAAATCCCATTCCTTCAAATAAAACCATAAGATTATTTTATGATAGCCGTAAGCACAACCAATGACCCTATAGATTAGCTATGAAAAGTACCTGGACAGCTTGCATACTCTGGGCATCTGAAAAGTCAATGCCCTCTCTATTGATAAACCTGATTGAGACCAAATTTGCTTAGCCTAGAAATCGACAAGAATATAAACATATGAAAGAAAACCATAAGAAACAAATATCGCTGAACTGAAAGTGGAAAATACTAGTACAACAAAGTGGAAACAGCCACTTGACGTTAAAATTCTAGCGCTGACAGAAATTGACTCTTGCCAAACACGTAATTGTGGAATCAAACTTACGCCCTCATCTTTGACGGACTTGTTCCATCAGCACCACCGACAATTGAAATACTCTTGATCTTCACATCCGAAGTAAATCTATTTACAACCGATTCAGAAAGACATAAGCATGAACCCTTTAACCAAGAAGAAAAGCACATTCGTACCAAGCAAAAGAACACATGCACACTCATGAACAGAGAGAGAGAGAGGGAGAGAGAGAGAGTCTATATCACCAGTACAGAGAGAAAAACAGCCAGTTCTTTATAAATTTTCTTCTAAATTATAATTTTTATAAAGATAGAGTTGTGAAAGTAACTATTTAAGCCAGAAAAAGTTGAAGACATCCAATAAAATGAAAAAAGGAAAAAGAAGTAAAAAAAAAAGGCAAGTTCATTATGTATTTTCTTCAAATTTTGAATTTCCGTCGATAGAGTTGTTGAAGACATCCAAGAAAATGCAAAAAGGAATAACAGGGAGGTTAGCCGCAATTTTGAGTAAGCATTGCAAGTCTTTAAGATGTACCCGGCACTTGCAAACAGTGACAAAATTTTATAAAAATTGATGCATCAGGAATGAGTTATTTGCCTCTGTATATCTAAATAAATTCATTGTTACTAATCTGATTTGGGCAAGGATCTACCTAGCCCTGACAATCTACATTACAAGGTAAAAAAGAAAAGGAAATGGCCAGCTCTGCAACAGATACTAGTAGTAATGACACCATAGATCTTAAAGCAAGAATACAAGGGATATTGCAGAAAGGATCCATGTAGATTGATAATGACTTACTTCAACAAGCACAGGTAATTTCTACCCACAGGCCTTGTGCCAACAGAATGAAGCAATCTTCATACCCAGGTACGTAAATGAAAAACACAAAGCAACATAAAGCAAATGCAAACCAAAGCATAAGGAAGCAAGGAACAGATATCCAAGATAAACAATTCAAAAAGATATTGGAGATAAGACAATGGTTATGCAGTATGATACCAAAGCAAATGGAGATTCTAACAGATTAACTAATCCTCATACTTTCTACATAAGAGGTTTGATAAAACATCTGGAAGGCCCCATGAAAAAAAGAGTATGGACTATTTGCATATTCAATTTATCATCCCACAGAGTTGATGAGCAAAGACATTACATAGAAAGCATAACCCAATCAGCAACTCAAAGCAGACTGCTAATACACAATTCAACATGAAACACAGACTACAGATTTGGGCCCACATGAACTTACGGAATGAAAACAAGTAACTCAGGATCACCATCATTGCTTTCCAAGTAGCCCTGTTACAATATCCACACAAAAAAAAAATGATAAAATAATGATAAAAACTAAACAGTTATCATAAAACGTGAATATCACATCATAGAGAAGTGGCTGGAAGAGGAGATTGTTTGAAGGATAAGACCTGATAACTCTAAACAAATAACCCTGACACATATACCACAGACATACAGGCATGACTCATTAATCAGCAGCTATTTTGAGATAGCACCAACTGCAGTTGAACAAGGACACAGAAGTGCCAACCAAGAACCTGGAAGATCATTACACAATGTAATGATCAAGCAAGTCAACCTAATTACAAGTACAGGTACAGCGCTTAAACTGATCAAAGATGAAACGGGAGGGAGGTTCGAATGTCAGAACTTTGATGAATGAAAAATGCCTAGAGAGCAGACAGGAAATTGATTTTGAAGCCGATTTAGCTATGATGTCTCATGCTCAAAACAATTCCATGATAACCAACTAAACCATAATACCTTACATTTTTTAATGTTGCCAGATATATCTTTAACCATTATCCTGATTTATCAGAAAGACTAACCAGCAATCCCACAGAAGCAACAGCATGAATCCATTGCTTAAAGTACCTTACCTTGTCCAACAAAACCAGGCACAAGTAATGTCTAACAGAGTTGACATTTATTTTAACATAACATAGCATAATCCTCCTATTGACACCAGGGATCATAAATTGACATAGAATGGGCATCTTAAGCTTGCTGATATCTGTTTCTAAAATTTTTATGAAGCTCTTGGAGTTAAGACACTGGGTGCATGAGGAGTATCTGCTAAGTTGCAAAATACAGACATTAAGACAGTAAATTTGTATGATTAAATATTGTCTGGTTACACGGTGCACGATACCAAAACCCATTCCAAACATTGTCCAAGTACAAAACTAATAAAACCATATCTAGAAGTGTGCATAAATAACTGAGAAAACACAGTGGTAGAACAACAATTTACCTCAGAAGAATTCAAGCGATGCTCCCAAGCTTTAAACACTGACTTCACACTTCCTGGAACAGCTTCATTAAGTGCCGATACCTAAGACAATCGACAATCATTAAGAGCAGAAGACCTCAACATGGAGACTTCCCTCTTATTCCCATGACATTTCCAACAAGCTTTTAATAGTTTCCAATTTATTTATTTATTTATTTATTTATTTTTGGTCGGTCCTACTCTATCTCTCACTCACGATACACACTCAGACTTGCGCCCCACCTCTTGCAGGGCGTGGGCGTCGAAACCCACATCTCCAATTAGCAAACAACAATTCCACCAAGATTTACGACGTTCAGAGACTGCATCGTTTGGTGCAGAAAATTGACATCCATTCATCTCTCTCCCTCTTAAACTACTCAACTTCAGTTCACTAGGCAGCTTGCAAAAATACAAGATATTCATTCTTAGACTCTCTTTATAATCAAATGATCACATCAAATTTATTCTCCTGGCGTTAATCCCTCTTTGTGCAGTAAACCACCCCAAGGCTTGCGACTCATACTCCCGAACAAGATTTAAGAACAAGTAGTAGTTCCATTTTTTCAACCTAGAGATCAAACATCTCATAAAAGAACACTAAAATATGATTCTTATAGCAATGCATGGTGAAATTTTCTAAATTCGGTGCAGCATGAGGCATCAGCGGAAACATGATTGAGAAGCAATCTCCAACTCTGATGAGACAAGTCTTGCTCGGTCCATTTGGTAAAGGCCAACCTTCCTACACGCACTAAGCCATAAGTTTGAGGCACACATTTCTCCTTCCCACACTAACCTAATCATAAAACAAAATGTCCCCTCATGATTTTTGAAAGCATCCCAAAAGGAAAAAATTTGGATATCATTACCAAGAAGTACAAGAGGCACCGGCTTTTTTGAGTGAAAAAATGAGCCATATTCGGATAATGTATTGTCATGTGTATCACATTTCCTGATAACAGGCTCAAAAAAATTCTTTAGCTCCACTGAGACATAATATCATCGACGTCTACTGATTCTTTCCAGTCTCTTAAGAAGATGATACGACCAGCCCAAAAGGAGCTAACCTTTAAAGCAACTCCCCACAAAACAAAGAAAATACTTGTCAGAGACGACATGATTTGGCACTATGATGTGCCAGAAGCCACACAGCAGAGACAAGCCCATCAGCTAAGGGAGGTTCCGACAGCAATTAAGGACGGACATCCGCAGTGAGCATAGGTAAAACACCAATCTATCATACCATGTTGCCAGACCAAAAACGCAAAAACGACCCAATTCACAAGATTGCATAATCTGCCAACATTTAACCGTAACCTCAACAAAAAGCTCATAGACAAAACATAAGATTATGCAGGCCAATCTGGCACTCGAAAGACGAATGCTCGCCGGAGGCTAAGAAACTGCAACTTCGATCGTCGGGGCAAATTGCTACGAGCACGACACGCCCACACCAAAGCCAATCAAACAGAACAACAAAGTAAAAAGACCCAGTTACGAATTTGAATCAAACAAGCAAAAGGAAAAACGATCGGACCTTGGAGAGGTCCACGTGCTTGTAGAGGGACCAATTGGAGGAACAGTCGTGGTCTTCGCAGCTGTGATCGTGCATGCACGCCATTTTCCCTCGTCTCCACCCTAATCTCTCTCTCTTTCGCTCTCTTCAGGGTGTTCCTCGTCTTCGAATTTAGCGATAGCTCGCAGAATTTGCTCCGGCGAGAACTGAGGCTCGGTCGGAGGGGGGACGTGCTCTGGTTTTCTAGCGTTCGTTCGTGGGTCGTCGTTCGCACCACCGATCCGCCGCGCTGGCTTGGGCCTCCTGGGCTTTTAGCGGCTTTTGCGTTTGATTTTTCTTGCACGGAAAATCCATGTGACTTTTTTTATTAGTTTTCATTTCATTTTTTCGAACGAAGAGGACCGATGCTAATAGGCATGTGGGCCTGCTGGTAAATGGATTAAAGGCAGGGAACTCTAATATCACAGATGCGGGGTTCGACTCTCGCGCTCTTTAAAAGTCAGAGAATGAGAATCGTTAAAAATAGGACAGACAAAAAAAAACGGAACTAAGGGTACCGATGTGGCACCACATAAGCACCATATTTGCCAATAGGCATGCGGGCATGCTGGTAAAATGATAAGAGCGGTGAGGATGCTAGTATCATAGATGCGAGGTTCGTTTTCCATACTTTGTAAGAGGCAGACCCAAAAAAAAAAGCACCTTATTAGAAAAAAACTGAACATTCAAAAAAGAAAATGGGCAATACACAAATAGGGTGATCGAAAGGCGAGGATTGGAACGCCAGGCCTCTCTGTTGTTGATGATGGTTTGAGACCCCTGTTGGGCCACCAACCAGGGTCGTCACCCTCACCACGACCAAGCGCTCGGTGGCCATGGCGCCCCCGCCACCACTAGGCAAAGGTTGCCTAGCCCTCACAACCGCCATGTTTAGGCCAGGGCAACCCTCCCTCGATCACGGCTGGGGCTGTTGCAGCCACCGTCTAGTAAGGGCGGCGGCCCTCCCCGATGGCCTAACAAGGGCTCCCCCTTCTTGTACCTCTCTGCCTGCCCGATCCCTCCCCGCCACTCCTTTCTTTATTAAATTTCCCCTTCATTTTTTGTTTTCAATTTTGAATTAACAGGAAATGACATCATTTTGTGTTAACAGACCTCGTTTTGTACTTTAACAACCTCCATCAGTAAACAACAGCACGTCGACGAAAAAATGATCAGAAGAGCGGGGTTGGATTTTTCCGTCCGCCTAACGGGAGGATTACTGTGTAGTTCGGCGACTACTAGTTCTAAGACTTAAATGTACACTTCACATGAAGTATAAAAAAGGGTCGGAATTCATTTTACAAATCACCACCGTATTTATACGCAAAATGCATCAATGTGTGTCAACATACCAATCACGTCTAGCACTTTCTTTTCTTATGTCCTCCTTCATTTTGAGAATGATTATTGGTTTCCTATATTTCTAAAGTGTATATTTTTGGACGTGGTCCGATAAAATCCTCTTTAGTAATGGAGTATAAAAATACATTGTGCCGATGTATCAACCTCTCCAAATGGCGAATCTTCTTTTTGCGTGATAAATTGTAATCCTACGATCAATGCTGCCTATGAAGAGGATAGGAGAATTATTTCCGGCATCGTAACAACGAGGTATTTCGAGTAAATATATCGAGATGCTTTTTGTCAGCCGAGAGTCAATGGTAACATTGGAAAAGCGTATGACGACATGTGATAATCTACATCGTCCAAGGTCTACTACTCAATGCACCAAGCTTACAACTGGAAACAAAGCGAAAGAGCCGACTCCAAGAAAGAACATAGCCAAAAGACAAGCTATATAGAACGATAGTGCAGCGATACAAGACTATCCACACAGTATGACTCGAGACATCGCACTGATGGTGTAGGTGTAATCAGTACAGCTCTTATTCCTAATACATAACGAGCACATACACATCATCTATGGCGCACTCAGCTCTCGGTGGGAGGCTTGTGCGGTGGCTTCTCTCCCTTCCCCTTCTTCGGCTCCTCCCCTTTCGTCGGTGGCTTGTCCCCGGGGAACGGCTTCTTCGCATCCTCTTCCACCTCCTCTACGAGAATGTGCCCCTCGTGCGGTGGCTTGCCTCCCTTCCCCTTCTTCGGCTCCTCACCTTTCTTCGGTGGCTTGTCCCCGGGGAATGGCTTCTTCGAGTCCTCTTCCACCTCCTCTACGAGAATGTGGCCCTCGTGGGGTGGCTTGTGCTCCGGTGGTGGCTTCTCTCCCTCCCCCTTCTTTGGTTCCTCGCCCTTCTTCGGCGGTTGGTCCTCCGGGAATGGCTTCTTCGAGTCTTCTTCCACCTCCTCTACAAGAATGTGTCCTTCATGTGGTGGCGGTTTCTCGCCTTTCTTCGGGGGCTTGTTCTTGGGGAATGGCTTTTTCATCTCCTCGGCTTCCACTTCCTCGGCGAGCATGTGGCCCGGGTGGTGGGGTGGCTTCTTGCCAGGGAACGGCTTTTTGTGGGAGTCCTCCTTTTCAGCCTCCTCGATGAGGATGTGCTCGGGAGGGTGGTGAGGGGGCCTGGGTTTGGGGAATGGCTTTTGTGCAACCTCGACTTCAACGCTCTCTAGGAGGCGGCGACCCCCGACAGGGTGGTGCTTGTGGGGTGGTTTGTGCTCTTTCGGGGGCTTAGGGTGGTGGCCGTCACAGAAGACAGTCGTGGCGAAGAGTGCCACTCCTAGTAGCAACACTAGCAAGTGCTTGGAAGACATCGTTTGCTTCATTTTATCTTAGAGAAGAGGATGTATGAGCTGATGGTGTAGGAGTTAGAAGCGAGAGAGTGTCTCGATTTATAGTGGTTTCTAGGACTTATGTCGTCGTCAGCAAGCATGTCACTCGATCCCTAGGATTTTGCTTTTGCCTTTGCTATGAAACACCGCATCGCCTAGGTTTGTATTTTACTGGTCGCTCGAAAATGCGATAGGGTGGTGGTCCACCCTTAGACATTGGGACTTACTTTAGGGTAGAAAAGTTTGACAATTAGGCCCTAATCACCTAATTAACTGCTCTCACTGGATTGATTTGCACCGCCAGATGGCAATTAGGTGTGCTCCATCTTTGGACATTGAGAGTTCTTGATCTCTCAATCTTTAGTATTGATTCTCTTTCTTGGAAAAGAAGTAGTCATTTCAATGTGCGATTTGTCTTGAAAAGCTTCTACAATGCAGCCACAGATTGAATTTACATAGGAGGGGCGGTAGTTAATATGGCACCGAAGACTTGTTTACGAGGGGAATGGGCATAAAACCATGTCTCAAAACAGTATAATACTAGATTAATGACTGACAAACGGGCGTGCCGATGATAAGTTTGGTAATTCACCAATAGAAATAAGGGCAACGGTATTTCTTCTTTATAGTCCGGGGCCAGTTATTTGGAGACATCCCGCAAGTCCTATGAGAACCGGTTAAGTTCATGGGATTAGACCAAAAATAATAATAGTAATAGTAATAATTGCCTAGCTAATGCATGGGACTAGATTAGAGCAAGAGTAACAATGACATTCTGGGACTATGTCTTTTAGTGTACTGGACTATCCAAACACGGCCGTTCAAATCCATGATGTTTCTAAAGCTGAATTTTATCTAATTAACACAAGGGCCATATTTTCCTCTGTCTTCCTTATATTATGTAATTTTATTATGTATATTGCTAAAAGGCAAGTAAATTATGGGCCGTAAGTGAATTCATAATTAAAAAAATAAGTATCATTTATGATCATAACTCAAAGTTCGTTTTGATATATACTTAAAAAAATGATAAATAGGGATCGTGATAGGTGCTATAAGCTTCCTCCATTCATGATTGGAGGAAGCTTCCTCCAATTATGCCTTTAATCGGTGAATTACGAATTATGGACATTGTCTACATGCAAACTTAAGTAAAAATATAACCCATATTTTAAAATCAGAAAATTGGTTGGAGAAAGATTCGTCCAATCAAAGATGGAGGAAGACATGGCCCATTCTCTATAGGCGTTTAATGTGATCCATTTATCTGGACGCCCAATAATTACAATTTTCTACATCATTCAATATATTGATTTTGTAGATTACCTTTAATATATCTCACATTAATGACCTAAATACTAGCATCATGACACAATAGTGGAGGTATTTATCAAGATGATTTACCCACATTGATCAGATCATAATGATCACAATAGTTGAAAACTCAAATCATAGACCAAAAGAGTGATGCATGGAAGCATGGATGCATGTATTAATATCACAAATCTACATGAGCTTTTTTATCCCTCCCTTTGTGCTTCACCTCCTAATTTTTTTCTTGATCTTTCGTGGGGAATTAGTACACTCTCATTTTATCACGAATTTGTTTAGTTTGAATGCGATTTAGTCAAATACTTTCATGAAAACACAGGTTTCTCACTATACTTAATTATATAGGATACTCTGAAAAAAATTGTGTTACAGAGCCCTTGATGTGTGGTTAGTATTCTATATTTTGTCGGTGAATAAATTATCTTCGTAGAACCTATATGCCTAACGGGACTTGCTTCTCATTTTAATATACCTAAGTTCCATATGTGAAGAGAACGATGGTATGGGAAACTTCAGACACAAGATACGAGGATGCAGCCTAATCATGGCAAACATGATTTGCTAGAATAACGAAGCACATCACATGCAACCCAATGAGCCTTCGTGACATCGCTCATTCACTGTTCAAATTGCCGCACGATGAAGGGAAAGCATGTGAGCCTTTGAGATTTTGATCAAGTTGGGTCTTGGTTGACAGAGATAGAGAGAGATTTTGCGGCGTCTTTTCTCGGTTTCCCATTTCGGATGGTGACCCTTCTGATTTGATACTTACCTAAAACGTCAAGGCATTAGAGAGGATGAGAACAGGGACCTCGAGTCATTATCTTGCCTATTCTTTTCCTTATCTTTTTTTTTTCTCGGCGAGCAAAGTTTTGCACGAAACTAGGGGGGAAGAACATTGAAACATTTTTAGTACGTGTTAAATATGTCTTGAATTTTATGTTTTCGGTCCGGTCTAACACCCGACCCGACATATTTTTGTGCGACCCGAAAATTGAGATTTAGTTCGCGATGCGGAGAGTTGGGCCGATAGGCCCAACTCGTAGCAAGTGAACAAATCTCTATGGTGGTCCGCCCGAGCTGGAGCAACGAACCAATGTTTCGGGGGGTTTGGGGGCGTAGCCCCCGAGGAAATTTTTTTGGGAGCACTATTTATACCGCGGCTAGGTTTTCTCATTATAGAGAGAGAGAATTTTATTT